ACATTAACAATTTTTGATGAAATATCATGACTTATTGGAGTTTTACCCTATGTCATCATATTTATCTTAATTTCAAATTAAAATTCATTAGAAAATAAAAATAAAAAGACACAATATTTCTTTTTTTGAAATTTACATCAATAACATTTGTTAGAATTTGACGTAGACATGAATCAGTTACTGTTGGTAAATTAATTATTGCAAAATGACGCTAAGAAGAAAAAAAAAACAACAACAGTAAAATTTTCAAAAATTTTATTTCTAGAATAAATAAAAAGTTTATTTACAAGTAATCGTGGATGAAGTGTGAACAATGATTGATCACCTGTTGATGGTATTGTAGCTGTAGCAAATATCGAAAAATCATCAATTATTCGTCTTTCATATGGTTTTTGTTGTGTTATAAATTGATGATGATCAACAAGTGTTCGAAGAAACTATTAAATTAAAAAATTTTTTCTTTTGAATTTTTTCATGAAAAAAAATTGAAAAATTACTTCAGGAGCATTTTTAAATTTTTCTAATCCATTTGTTGTTGATGCTTGTAAATCATCAATAAATAAACAAAGTTTTTTTGCTAATGGAGCACCATATGTAAAACCTTGTCGATGAACAACATTCGCTTCAATAAATTTTTGTAAATCAACTGAATTTGTTGCTTTTGAAAAATTTAAACGTGTTGCAAGAAAATGTGCTTGATCTAAATGTAATTTTTTTTAAAATTTTTATTATTATTCTATTTATTTATACAAACCTAATCCACTAAGAAATGTATCTAATAAAAATGATTTACATGAACCAGTTGTACCAGTAAGTAAAACATTAACTTGTGCTAATGAAGCATATTTAAGAAAATAATGTGCACGTGCTAAATCAACTGTTTGTACAAGTACATTACCAAAAACATCAATGCGATCTTGAATATTTTCGTTAAGTTCATCAACTCTAAAAACAAAAAAAATTTCAAATTTTTTTTTTTTTTTGTATATAAAAATTTTAAATTTATATATTAACTTACTTAGCTGTCCATAAATCCCATTCACAGGATTCATCAACATAATAATCAAAAACAGATATTTCTCTATCATCATCGGGTAAAACTGAAACATAATTTTTTAATACATCTGAATAACGTTTTTGTTCATCAGAATTAAGTATAGCTTTAAGAACAAATGTTAAACTGAATATAAAAAAACGTTCAACATGAACATCAGTTGTGACATGAGTACTATCACGCAGTATAGCATCTAATAAACGAAGACTGACCGAAAATAAACTCGTTTCAGAATAATAATTGGATCTAAACACATAAAAAAAAAAAGAAACAATTGATTTTTCAAGTTAAATTATATAAAAGATTTTTTTTATTTGATTGATTATACCGTGAACATTCTTCTTTAAGAAATGTCATTATTGGATCCATTACTTTATCAAAACAAGATCGAAGACACTATAAAAAACATCATTTAATAAATATTGTTTGTATTTTTTTATTTGAAATTTTTCTTACTTGAACTTCCAATTGACGTCGATCTTTAAGCCATGCACCTGCAATAACTTTCCAATCAATAACAGATTTATCGAAATAAATAACAGCCTATTTAAAATAAACGCAAATTAAAATTAAAAAAAAACAAACAAAAAATTAAAAAAAAACACGTTTACTGAATTAGCAACAAATGAAGGTGATGCATCAGATAATGATAATGTTTCAAACATAAATTTAACTTGATCACGTAAAAATAATTTATCTCCATTACGTATTTGTAATGATGATTCTTTTTCTAATATTGATGGTAATAAATCAGCCCATGTTCGACTTATTATTCCATCAAAACAAATCCAACTTGTATGACAATTCTATTAATATAAATTTTTCAAAAAAAGAAAAAGATCATTCAATTTGTTAACTTGAAAATAAAACTTACTCGATTAGCTTTATGTAACATGGTTGTTAGAACACCATCTTGCCAATCATTTGCTAATGTATGATAACCAAGTAAAACATTTTCAGATTCAATGGCTAATGGATTTATTCTAAAAAAAACAAAATAAGAATTTATTCAATAAATTATTTTATGAAGAAATTAATTTACCGATAGACTTTATGTGTTTGTGTAGCAATTTCTTGGGCATAATTGGATTCTTGTGGTACTGATAAACTTTTTTGCTGTTGAACAGATGTTTGCAATTGTTGTTGTTGTTGCATTTGTGTTAATACATCAACCATTAACATAGCTGCACTTGATTTACCACTATGTGTTGATCCACATAAAACCATATCTACATTTCATAAAATAATATATTTGTGTATATACAATCCTGGACAAAAGTAGCCGCTCCTCATAATCTGGTACTATTCTTTATGATATTGACGTAATATAGTAAGTGCGTGCATACGACAATAAACCCTGATCGCAAACAGCTATAATTCACATTTGTTCTGTCTCTTATAAAAAAGAAAATGTAAGTCAACGAAAATATACATTCAGAAAGGGTTTGTTTGTTATTTTGTTATTGCACAAGCTATTACTACTTTTTTTTTCTAGTCTGACCGAAAGTCATTTATGTCTACTTTATTATCAACAAAGCTCATCATACAAAGTTGGAATCTAAGTAATTTGTGCTATCTCGGACAATAAGATCATGTAGTAGAAGTAGCTTGACTTCATTCAGTTCTGTGGCTCTAAAAAATTCAGAATACTGAAATTTTCAAATGAATCAATCAGAGTTCTTCTGAGAAAGATCTATCTTGTTGACATTCAGCATTTGCTCTTTATAAGACACTCTTAATAAGAAGACAATATCTCATTTATTTTAAAGTTATTTCTAATGAAATATGAACCGAAGACAACTATGTGACTGGCTCTCTGAATGATGTGCGGATGAAAATATTTGTATTAGTATGGTTAAGATAAGTTGATGAAAAGAAGAACATGATGTCTGAATTATAACTCCAGTATGTGTAAACCGATCGAAGACAATCAAATTCTTGCGGTCAGAATTTTTTGTCGCACACATGCATTCACCATATCAGCTCAATATTATAAAAACATTAATACTTCATGGAGATAACTACCTTTTTCCAGGATTATGTATAGAAAAAAGAAATAATCATTATTTAAAGAGGAACAAACTTTTTGCAACATTTGCTGCATGAACCATTTGTACACATTTTGCAACCCAAAGCTTTTTCGGCATGAAATCATGATCAGCTGCTTTATCAATTATAATTTTATCGAGCATAGCACTTGTGGTATTTAATGTTGTCATTTTCGATTCATCTCGTCCAACAAGTGTTTCAAGCACAAATATTCGAAAAGTTTTTGCATGCTAAAAGAAAAAAAAATTTTTTTTTTTTATTTAATTTGAACGAAAATAATATAAATAAATATTCTACATCAGGATTCAATCGGGCACCAATAACATCTATAAATGCTTGAGCAATTAATAATTGATCAGATTTCGCACCAGCATAAGAAGGTGTTTTGATTGATAAAGAACGTTTAGCATCTATAAAATACAAAATAAGAATTTTATGAAGAAAAAAAAAACATATGAAATAATATTACCTTCAATTTTCTGTCCACTTGATGCCATACTAGTTGGTCTTGAACCAGTATGTTTTTTTAGATTATTTACATATTGAAGTAGATCAATAAAAGATGTTAAAGAAATAACGGAACGTTGTTCAATCGGTCTAAATAATTTTGTTTTAATTTAATAAAAAAAACAAGAATCAAAGTTGATAATGACTTACAAATATAATCGAATTATTTCATAGAGAAGTGAAATTTTTTCAGCAATAACATTTGAATTTTTAAAATTATATTCGAAACATTTTATACGAAAGATTTGATCAACATCCGGTTTAACTATTGAAACCATACGAAAACGAGATCGAATTTCAGATAATAAAATTGTGTAATTGCCAGTATTTGGATTAATAGCAAATGGATTACGTGTTGCCATTATACCAACAGATAATCGAATTGGAATCTATAAGAATACATTCAAAAATAAATAAAAAGATCGTTTTAGATATTTATCAAACCTCTTTGCTTTCTGAAGTTATTGTGGCAGCTGAATTATTTGTTCGAAGAGCATCAGAAATTAGTGTTATATATTCAGCAAGAGGAGATAGAACATTAACTGTTAGAGTATGAATATTATTAAAAATACCCCAACATCCATCCTAAATTATTTATAACATAAAATTGACATTTGTAATTATAGAGAAGTATAAACTTACAGATACTAATCCAATTGTAAACATACAAGCAGCTGATGCATCAACATGTTGAGAGCATTCAAATGTTGCAACAAATCGACCAAGAAAGCGAGCAAAACTCTATATAAAAATGAATTGTTCTTTTTTAACAAAAATTTTCTTCTATAATAATAGTACCGTAATTGTATATTTTTTTCCTACAGCTGCATTTCCTTGTACAAGAACAGGTCGTTTAAATGATAAAGCAAGCCATATACCAAGAAAACATTTTTCTGTTGTTGATGTAATACATAATGTTTGATGTATTCCATAAAATTCATTACCATAAGAAAATATATCATCCATTACTTGCATACGAATTGGTTCACTATAGCTGCTTGATGACATCATACTACTATCACTAGATTTTGATTCTAATCCTGAAGGAGATGTTTGTTGATAAACTCGAAAACATCGTCGCCAATCGAAATCTTTTTGTGTTATTTCACGACGACGTGAGCAAAGTGCATCGAAATTATCACGTAAAAATGCCGCAAACTTTTCATATAAAAAAAAAAAAATAAAACATAAAGAAAAACAAACAAAAAAGTATTTTATGAATATTACCGCAAGAACTCCTTCTAAACGTAATTTATGTAAAATTAAAACTGGTTGTGCTGGTGTTTTCCATTGTAAACGTGATAATACTGTTGGTATTTTTTGAATCAATGATGCAAAACGTTTTGAAGCTGTATTTAAACCTTTTCGATCATTTTTACATTCAACAATGCCTGTTTCAACTTCACGTGTCCATGCATATAATAATCCTACCAATGATACTTGACATGTATACTAAAAAAATAAAAGAGAAAAGAAAAGCTATGAAGAAAAAAAAAATTTGCTTTTTTATCAATTTATCAGATACTTTAGAAACAAGTTCTTCATATGGTAAACCATTATCAAGATCTTTAATACACGAAGAAATATCCATACGTATTGTTTCAGCAACTGATTCTTGTAAACGACTAAGCCATTGTTCCACAGATTTTTGTAATGGTACAGAACGACGTAATGGCATACATTCACCATCATCACTCATTACTTGTATAATATCCTGTTGAGTTATAACAACAAATTCGGCATGAGAACGAGATTCACTTGTAACTGTAGTCTAATGAAAGAGAACAACAATAATAAAAAGTTGAGAATAAAAATTTTAATCAGAATTCCCATGTCACACCTTTGTTCATACTACTGTCAGTATACTGCGGGACTCATAAGCCCTAGCGGTAGTGCTTATGACTTCCAGTTCAATCTATAAACAATTGCAGAATAGATTTTTCTAATAAATATCTTTGTTCAGGAACATCTATAATAATATTTTATCTCATAATTAACGCTGTTTTGGATCATCTGGCTAATACAGGCGGCTTAGGCACATCAAGATGTATGTGACATATGATGAAGACGACTCAAATCGGTTAGTTTGAAAGAAACTCACAAATCTTCACTCGTTTTCATATAATACATGGTAAAACAACAGTCAAATAAACTGCCGGCACAGCATATATTACATCGATGGTAGTTTCTTGGAAATTATCTAATGGTTTATTAAGATAAAACTTACACGTCGTTCTTCATCTACTTTTGGTTGATCAATATTTGTAATAGATAATTTAAGATCACGAATTCCATTAAATATTGATTGGAAATGTTGTTTTACATAATAAATTGTATCTTGTCGACTTAATAATGATATTAATATACGATTTGTAAGAAACGAAAGACGAGGAAATATTTGACGTTTTCGATCCAAATATAATGATATTGATTTATTACATATTTCTAATTCTTTTTGCATTTCTTTCAATATGCCTTTTTTTGGTGGTTCACTCAAACAACATTGTAAAACATTACGAATTTCAGAAGATTGTCGTTGAGTTTTTAACCATGTTTTATCAACACGTACAAATCTTTTAGATTCTAATGATATATCTTTTCCAGCTGATGGATTATTAAATATATTTTCAGCACCTAACCACATATCTTGAACTTCAAGCCATAGTTCAAGAATTTCACTAATAGCTTTTAATTTTTCAGACCATGATGCTACTTCTTCACGCATCGGTTCAATATATCGTGTTGTTAGCATTTGAGCAAGTCTAAAACAAATCATTTTGTTTTTTTCTTTTTCTTATGAAAACAAAAGAAAAAATAACAAATAATTAAAATCACTTACGTTTCTTCACCATCTTCTAAATGTTCAAGTAAATTTTCAACATAACGTTTCTCTAATAAAATTGAACCATAATCTTTATATGGTTCAAAATTAAGTATTTGTTCAGTCCATTCTTCTTCAATACTACGCATTTTTATTTCTAATTCAAGTTCTTTTCTTGCTGAAAAACAAATAGCAGAAATTTCATTTTGATATTTATCTAATGATATATCTAATAAATCATTTAATTTAAATACACTTGATTCTAATTGAAATGAACATCCTGTTATTTGCATTACTTTTAACCAATGACGACTACGAATTTCTCGTGCATTTAACATAAATAATAATGGTAATAATTGAAGATATTTTTTTAAATGAGCTTCCAAATCAAAATAAGCTGTCCAAATACGTTCTTGTAATTTTGATGGTAAATCACAAAATTCTGTCCAAAGTTGATTAAGTTCATTTTTACTTTGATTTAAATCAACTTCAGACCAAAGAGTTGCACGAAATGTTGTATCAAACGCAATGAATTTTTTATATAATATATAAAGTTGATCAAGTAATACCAATTCCTATAAATAATAATCGAATATAAATAATATCAAAAAAAAATTCAAGTAATAATCGACGAAATCAATGAAGATATATAGATAAAAGCAAGCATAGCTAAGCATGCATTTTTTATTTTCTTAATTCTCACCTGTTACTGATATTCTCCTAAAAATATTTTATTTTATATTTTCTTGATTTTTTTTTCTTTTGTTTTTAATGTTATTATTTAAAATTAAAAAGAACAAATCAGATAGTATAAACTTACTTCTCCTGTTTTATCCAATTCAGGAAATTGTTTTGGTTGTAAACTAAATAATGTTGATATGGAATTTAATGTTTGTTTACGTCGATGCATTATTTTATATTGTCCTTGAAAATCTTTTAAACGTTTAGCTGCATCTAATGGTCCTAAACCTGGTACATTAGGTCCTTCGACATCAAATGAATTTCGAAATCGAATAACTTCAACAACAAATGATTTAACTTGTTTATCTAATTCTTGTTCTAATTGTTGTCGACGTTCCTGTAATAATTGTCTTCGTACACGATCAGCATTTAACATTAATTCTGACCATTTATCACGTAATTGTGAACATTCTTCAAGTTCATCACGTGGAATTGGAATCTTATAAACTTCATCAAGAAGTGTATAAGTTGTTTCAATTGGTAAATAAATTGAACTAAAAGAAAAAAAACAAAAAAAAATTCTTTTTTTTTTTTTTTTTTTTTTTTTTTAAATCTTACTCAATTTTATTTTCCATCTCACTTAATTCTTCTAATAAAATTAAAGCTTCATCTAATTGTTCAAGTGTAGATACATCATCATTAAATCTTAATTGTACTTGTTGTCGATAAGCAACAACTTGATCAAGTTCAAACTTTGCAAATCTATGTAATAATTTAGCATATTGAGTTTTCCAACTAAATATAAATGTTTTTAATGAATTTACAATTGGAATCGTTTCAATACAAATACAACCAATTTGAATTTCATGTGGTAATATATTAAGACGTTCTTCAATTCCTATAAGACGTTCAAGTTCATTTTGTAAATATTTACGAACATCTGCTGATGGAATAGCATTTGGATCAACTATTATTGTATAATCTTCATCATTTTCATCTTGTTGAATAATTGTTTGATATTGTAATTGGGAATCATCTCGCCAAAGAAAATCAAATGTACGAATATATTCTATAGCACTTTGAGATATACGTGTTACATCTTTATCAATTGATGATAAACGATCAATTAAACTAGATAAATGAGTATTTGATTCGATTATTGAAAATAAACGATGAACAGTTTCATTGTCAAAACCAGCAGATTCTAGAAGATTTATTATTATTTAAGAATATTTGTCTGTATATGAGCATATTATTAATAGAAAAATTATCCGAAGAAAACTAAATATGAAATATGATAGAGTTATTTTTATCGCACTAAGATCTATGTTGATTTCTAAATATTGTCTTGTCTTACAAACTATTGTGAATGAAAATGTCCCATGTTACAAGTTTGTTTGCATTATTATTACAATATACCAGCAAAAGATTGCCGGTCAGAAGATAGCGGACCATTTCAATATCGAACTGTCGAAGATTTTAGTCGGGTTTCAGTCACATGATATTGACAGTAATTTATAATAGCAGAAAATATTCAATGATGACCTATCATTCTTTTTTCCTATTCTCTACTACTATTTATCATCTTTCCTTTGTCTGTGTGCTTTGAGCAGCAATTCCATAATATGTGACATGAATATAAAAAAAAGAGATAAGATAATTGAGGAGTAATTTATGGCTCACGGTCACATGTTTAGACCATCATTAAGGTATTTTGAAACTTGATGTTATTCTACTATCGCATGAACTTCATCGAGTGCTTTGAATATATTCAAAATTTGATATTTATAAGTTGCTTATAAAGAAAATTCTTACCCATCTATCATTAATACCCATCGTCTTTAAAGACAAAAATATTTTCTTTTCTATGTCATTATTTTCCAATTTTTATAGAAGTAATCGAAATTGATTAAGCTTGCTATATTTGTTCTTCCCTCTTTCATTCTCAAAATCATTATTGTTCCATATTTAAATTGTTATCTATATTTGTTATTAATTACTTATTATTTGTAATCTTTTATGCAAAATATAGAAATCAATATCAAAGTCTTATATATGTAGTAAGAAATATTTTTCTTGTTTCAAGGTTGACTACTGATAACAATCCTTTTTCATATAATAAAACATATATTTCAATGTTCAATTAATTTAGTAATAATTTGCTCGTGATCAAAGTTAGATTGAATAAGATAGTCTTTAGAATAAAAAAATTTTCAAATAATTTCATGAATTTTCTTAATATGAAAAGAAGATTTGTTATGATTAAAAAAATTAATTCTTTTTACTAATATCTTTATTTTAAAATACTCTTACCACTTATTTGTTTTTCACAATCAATAATTGCACGAGCAACATCACAAATACATTTTTGACATGAACTTAATTGTGGATCAATAATTATTTCCGGTATAGCATATTGCATTGTACAACCGATTCTATATTAAAAAGGCAAAAAAGAAAAAAAATGAAATAAAAAATGTTTTTATTAATAATGAAATAAAATAAATATACCTAATTCGTTGTGTATCAACATTTAATTGTTCATCAATATCTTGTCCTTCAAACAGAAATCGAATTAATTTTGTTTGATCAATTAAATATTTTGTTTCTGTTATCGAAACTAAATCAATATAAGTTACTAAAGTTCGTTCAATTATTTTTTGTATACAATAATTCATTTTATCATGATAATATCTAACAAATTCCATCATAGCTTCATTTGTAACAGCCGGTGTTGCTGTTTTTACTCTTCGTGTTGATGATGTTGATGAACGTGATTTTGGTCCAGTTGAATTTAGTTTTAACATATCTTCAACTTCTTGAAATGTTTGTTGAATTTGATGTAATTTTTCACCAATTAATATTGATTGTTCATTTAAATGTGAACGCATATTTTCAAGAAATTCTGTTGGTGTCCATAATTTTGAACGAATATAATCAATTGAAAATAAAAGACATGATGAATTCATTAATTCATTATCAAGTATACTATCAATTTTTTCTGCTATTAACGTATTAATATTTGAAATTGATGTCTCAAAACGATCAAGTGCACGATGAACTTTAGCAATATATACATCAATATTAAGACTCGACCAAGTTAATGTATGTAGACCAGGTTCAAATGCTCGATAAACTTGCGATAAATGACTTGTAAAAAAAAGGTTAAAATGGTGGATAAATTCGAGATTGTAAATAACGAAAACGTGTAAGAAGATCATCGAGTAAAGATTTGTAATGTTTAAATGTTTGTTCCTATGAAATCAAGAAAGAAAAACAAATATGAAATTGAGAGAATTTTATTTATATCTAATAAAAACATTTCTATGTTAATTTATTCTGACGTTTTTCAAATAAAATATAATATTATTTTTTTTAACGAAATTAGAATATTTAAAAAAATAAAAACAAAAAGTTTTGATGAAAATATTTTTAATAATTGAATTTCAATTCATGAAAGAAAAATGTGAAGTTTATTTTGTTTAATAGTAACTCTATTATACGATAAATATAAATATAACTTTTACAAATTTAAATTAGTTTAAAAAAATTGATCATATTCATGATTAAGATTGCAAAAGAAGAGTTCTCATATATAAAAGAGTGAACTTTTACATAGAGATATAGAATTTACTTCACAATGGGCAATAATGTGAATGCGTCGTGATAAAACAATTTTCCAATTTGAATGATGTCCAAGATCCTTTGATCAATAGCTGATGTTTTGTTTTAAAAAACTATTCTAGCTATTAAAGAATTTCAGAAAACTCTAGCTTCAAAAATTGACCAGGTATCTATCATTTTAGAGAAACGTATCTTTTCTCAAAAATAATAGAAAGACCTACAGAATAAATCTTAGACTTCTTGCTCCATCGTTCTATATGAACAACGTTGTTGGAAAAGATATGCATGCTTTCTCATCCAAGAGGTTTCTAAAAAGTTGCGTTGAGTGTAGTTGGAACACACACAATTTAGTACAGCTTCAAATTCGATGAAACTTTCATAGGATGTTTTTTCTCTATTTAACACGTATACTCAGTTAGCATTGATGCTTCTTAAACAGAGATACTGGTTTTTATAGATTGTCACGTTCTGGTTTCAACATGCTCGAAAGGATACTCTACTAATGATATGCAGCAGGAACTTTCGGACACTTCAGTACTTCGGCTGTTTTAGCCTTTGATTTCAGCATGCTTCTAACTATTCATTTCATCAACTTACTGGAAAATGTTTCATAGAATACTATAGAAACTAAATAAGTACCCGAGTGAGTACCTAGTTAATGCTCTTGTATTGAGATAACTCTCAGCAGAATACTAGACCAAAATTCTGTAACATACTGGTAGCCTGAATGCAGCTTATTTACTAAAAACGAAGATAAAACTACAGCAAAAAGAAAGTCATGACTCATGTACGAAGATTAATAATGACAAATCATTCTATAGTAACTATAATTTCAATCAGTCTTATTTAGAGAATTAAATCCTATCTAAAACATAATTTTCATCAGAAATGATTATTAACAGAGATAGGATCAGTTCTTGACTTTTTTTTTGAACCAAATCGATCTCATGTCTGGTTTCTTTTTTTTTTCATATAAATTTTTTTGAAAGATATTAAATATAACTATTTTAATGATTGAGTCAATGAATACCTTTTGCATGCAGATAAGTGCTGCTTTAGGAATATCTACATCAAGTCGTTTAAACTATTTAACTTCATCAAATATAGAAAATAATTCAATTATTGAATTAATTTTTATACGTTTATTATTTTCTTCATTATCGTTAACTAAACATAATAAATTAGCATTTAAATGATCTTTTCATGCATCAATTTTTTCTTTCCATCGTGCTAATAAGAATTGTTCATAGACAAGTAATGCTTTAGCTGTACGATTATAAAGTTTTGATATTAATGGAAAATTTCCTAATGTAATAATATGTTGATTTAATTTAAATACATTCATTGCTTGTTCAATTTTTGTTAATAATGTACGTGACCAAGCAATAGCAGCTTAACAAAAAACAAAACAATTTTCAAATAATATTTTACTTGATACAGGTGAATCATTTCGAGGTAATAGTGAATTATCTTTATGTATTTCAAATGTTGTTCGAATATCCAATAAATCATTTTCAAAATCTTAATCGAAAAAACAAAAAGTTTGAGAAAAATTGTTTTCTGTTAAATTTACTAAGACATAAATTAACATAAGCATCACGAAGAATCGAACGGAGATAATTTCGTTCACAAATAGGTTCAAAACTTGCTAAGATAAATAAACCTTCATGTGTACGTTTTGTTTTTGAAAACATAACATTAACATAAGCACCAATTAATTGTTCAATTTCATGTGTTAATGAAGTAAATTGTTTATGAATTAAATCAAATCTTTAAAAAAAATGATATATGTATAAATACTTTGTTTTTTCATCTTCATTTGATTGATTATTATTATTATTAGCAGTAACATTTATTAAAATTGTTTTAAGTTGTTCAACACCATTAGCAATACATCCATTTAATGATACAGAATCATTATCACTATCACAATATTTTTCTTTTGATTAAAAAAATAAAATAAATATAAAGCTCAGATTTTCAAAGACAAAATAACATACTCATCAATTCAAGATCAGTTTTTGATACAGTTGATGTGAGATAATCATTTTTTGTCACACCTGCATCACTACCTCTATCGTCAATACCTTCATCTGAAGCATTCTCAACATTATTATTATTATCATTTCTTTCTTCTTCTCGTTCTTCTTCGTCTTCACGTTTGCGAGCATCTAAAAAATTTAAACGATCAACATGAATTTCAAAAATCAATCATAGAAATTTATTTCTCCTAAAGATTCAATGGAAAGTAGCATCTCAAAATTCAAGATTTCTACAAAAATAGCTTTGTAAAACACGACTTCAAAGGAGTGGTGAAGTGTTCAGAGATAGAAATTTGTACTCCTCGCCCCTGAGACCATGATAGAGATAGTACATAGCTAATATATGATTGGAACATTATGTAATATTATCACGTTCAAACTCTGTAATGTACGTCAATATGCATAAATAACAGCGATTTTTAGAACATTGAAAACAGCAGCTACATCATGTTTCACATTTTCAAATCCGCAAGGGATTACGCTAACAGGTTTTTTAAGAATCCGAACATTACACTAAAGACTTCTGCTAGATGATTGTGTCAATTTAAAAAGAAAAGAACAAAAGTTCACTTTTTTGACATAGAAAATGGTCAAACAATCACTGCTGAGCATTATTAAAAATAATATCAACCAGTTACTTTTTACACATCGAAAATTTTCTTCAAATGACAGAAGACACATGGAGTGTCTGCAAAGTCTTTTGAGTTAGGAGAATTTGCATATCTCTTTTACGACTCGACTAAACAAGCTTAGCATGTTCACACTCCAAATCCGTATGGGGCAAAGGTATCAAGCTTCTTTCTTAAGTATATAAATTTTGTTTCTTTCTGTGAAACAATAAAACTTTCCTTTATAGAATTTCAACTTGCCAACTTTGCTTTTCCAACAAGTTTAACCTTATTTGAGATCTTAAATTTTCTACTCGCTTTGATGCCTACGGATGTGCAGTTTCAGTTTACTGACAACACTGGAACATGGATGTTTACTGATACAGCAGTCAAGTCTCTATTAATAAATGTCAGTGCTCAGTACATCAATGTTTACACTCTAACCGCCCTTCCCTTTCTGATCTGTATCTTAAGATTCCTACTTGCAAGAAAAACATTTCGAATGAATAATTGTTGGTTTTTCTTAGCCTATTTTAGAAGCCAGACATATCTAGTCTAGTCAATCTATAGAATTTCATATTAGAAAACAACGTCAGAAAAGAACCTTTTTAAATACTGCTATAGTTTTTTTTTATTTCAAAACGGTTTCTCCTAGAATATTGAATTGTTAATAATCAGTTTTTTTCGACTGTCCTAATCATTTCAGTGAGATCATAAAATAGATATTCTTCTTCTACGACTGGCATCGACAAGAAAACTATTTAGGCAACATTCCAGTTTTTGAAATTGTTTATCTTTCGGCATACGATAGAATTTTTTTATAATTAGAATATCCCAATATTTAGAGGAATCTTTGTCAGGTCACTTTTTGGTGTATTAAGTGCTTTATCAACTTGGTTACGTTTAAGATTTTCAAACTATTGTATCGATTTAATTCTCTTCAAATCTGTGTTGAAAACAAACTTTTCGATCGAAATTAAATTCTTATAATCGATTGACAGTATATATTGTATAGAAATTCATTATAATACCTGCACGATTAGCAATATTTTCAGCTTCGATTACATCTGCTCGTTTTGGTTTAGGTAAACGAACAGTTGTAGTTATAAGTCTATAAAAAATTTTAATTAGTAAAAAAAAATTTATTTTTCTTTGTCTTACTGTGAAAATTGATTAAGTATAATTGTCATATCAAGCATTTGTTCAAATCGACGACAAAATTCATTGAAATGTTGAAAAATTTTTTCATCTTGTGACATTAAAATTCCACTTGCTTGTCTAATTTGATATCTTGAATGGCTTTGATCTTATTGATGAGCACTCCTATGTAGAAAAATAATTCAATAATTTATGTTAAAAAATTTTATTTTCGAACTAACGTTGTTTCACTTAATGTTGATGATGATGTTGCTGAAAAAGCTGTAGATGTTAACATTTGTGAACCACCAAGTGCATCACGTAAAGTACGAAATATTTCTTTGTAAGATGCTTGTAAAAGAAGACAATTTTTTAAACGTTGAAATGTACTTTCATTAATTGAATTTGTTTCTAATGGTATTGATCCTTTTGGTACTTCACGAAAACGCTTTACATCCTATACGAAAATAAATCAAATAAATATTATTGTTGTGTGTGTATGTGTGTTTTTTAATCTACTCGTTTATCAAGATGAAAATTTTCTTTAATGTCATCGATGATTCCACCTTGTAAAATTTCATTAAAAAGTTTTGGTCAAAGTTCTATTAAATCATCACCAATATGATGTTTACAAATTTTAACTAATTGATTAGTAACTTTTGTAAAAATTAAATCTAAATAAGCTTGTCTAGTATAATATCTTGATACTGATTCAACAGTTCTCATGGCATCACATAAAGCAGGTAAAATATTAACAGCACAATTTTGTGGATGTGGATCTTCAGTTAACTTTTCTAAAGAACGACGAATTGTTTGAAGAAATTTTGTTTTATCACGACATTTATTTTGTGCTTCGGTTATACTATTTATTCAAAATCCAAAACAAAAAATAAAAAAAACTTTTGATTTTGATGTAATTAATGCATCAATAACTGCTTTACATTCTTTAGATTTTAATTGTTCAAGTAAATTATTAATTAAACATTGTTTACGTGTCCATCGTTCAATTTCACTTAAGAGACCAAGTGATGGATGCATTGAACTATTACATTAAAAATAGGAAAAAATGATTCGAAAATAAATAATAATTTTTATTTTTTTTTCTATATAAAACTTAGTCTTCATCGAATATATCTTAAAGAACATTTTCAATTGTTGAAATCCACGATAAAACTAATGATTCACAATTATGAATAACAGGATTATCAGCAATGGATCGTGCAGTTTGTTTTAATTAACTTATCATTTCAGCATCAACTCGTTTTAATAGCTGAAATGAAAATAAAATAATTATTTATGAAAAATATTTTTTTTCATATGAATATTTTAAACTTCTCAAATCGCATAAAGTAATTAATGGAATTATGAATCTTTCTACCAACGACAAAATGTTTCCAAATCGTATTTTTAATGTATATTTGCATGGGTAGTCAACTAGAAAAAAAAACACAAAGTTATCACAAGATTTTTTTTTTCATCTGTAGAACTTTGAAATGAAAAACAAATTGATATTTATTATTGATATAGAATAATTTCAAAAAAATTAATTTAGAGAAACTCAAGATAAACAGATCAAATTAATCATTTTTTTGCCTCATAATATTGAAGTTTTTGTTGCCATTGAGATATATACATTTGTAACATCTCGAAAAGATCAAAATCGTCAGATCGAACTATGTCTGTTGCAGATGTATTCTAGTGTTTGAATGAGAATGTCAGATTTCCTCTCAGAACAATGCTACATACATTAGGTTTCATTGGATTCTACCTCAACTTCTTTCTAATGACAGTTCTAAAATGATAAGTATATTTGCACTTAACAAATTTAAGTGAACATTTTTTTGTGCATATTATAGGGATCATGAAGTTTGAAGTTTTAATAAAAGATTCCCTGCAATAGATTGACTCGACTTGATACTATATTTTAAATCTTCTGAAATGGCTTTGAAAGTTTAGTTTTGATATAATTTAGAACTGTAAGGCTTTAGTGTACAGAAACATTCGTTTAATGTTTTTGTATGAAAACATCACATCAATAAACTATTTGATGCTTACTAAATTCTTATTTTTTTTGTAAAGAATGATATGTTGTATTAATTCCATCAATATGTCTTTCCATTTGAGCTACTATAGCTGCTTTTGTCAGTTGTTTAATTATAACTATCATTTGAATTAGGTGTTAATTCTTTCTTAAATAATAGTAATAATGTTTGTGAATAAAGTAATAATGTCATTTGTGCTGGATGTTTTATTTCGTATATTTTTAGTAGATCATTTAAACAAAAAAATTTTATTCAAGAAGTTTAAAAAAAAAAATCTGAATATTCTTTTCGATTAATTTCTCTAATTATTTTACTGTCTCATCATACTATTGTATGATGATTATCTCTAAATAGTTTACTTATTGTTTTAGTTTTATTATGTTCATTTTCATTTGATGATAATTGAATTTTTTTTTCAATGACATACATTTTGCATTTATATTAAGTCAAGAAATCAAGAGCAATGATCGACAATACATTCGAAGATATTATATGAATTTTAATCTAAAATAAAGAAACAAAAAGAGATTTATCTGAAGTATTATGTTTGAGAAATATCTTTTAGAATTCAAACTATTCGATTATTTTTTTTAATCATGAAATAAGAACATATATATTGAGCTAATTGTTTTTTATTTTAATCAAATAATGAAAAAAATGAACAGGAAAAAAAAAGAAATTAAAGAAAAACTACACAGATCCAATAGTAAATAAATAAATAAATAAATAAATATATATCTGTTTATGTCAACATCACAGTTTTACTTAATGTAACAGATGGAATTATAGAAATGGAACAAGATGCACATACAATAACTTTTCGATTTGGTTCAGGACCACTTGCGTTTGTTTTGACACCATAAAATGATGCTAATTCATGAATTACATGACGTTTATTATATTTCATTGGTGCAAATGAATAAAAGTGTATGAAACGTCGAGCAGCTTGAGTATCTTCAACAAGTTGAGTAAATTGTTGTTCAATATTTTGAATAAATTCTAAATTTTTCTTTGCATAATCAAGTAAAAAATCTGTATAAACATTTGGTATTTGTTGTGGTTGATCACAATCATTGGAGAAAGCTGAAGTTAAAATACTATTTTGTTGTATAACACGACATTCATCATCACATTCTAATTGTGGTGGTTTTCGTGCAAATGATAAATTTTTTATTTGAATTTCTAATGCTTCAATTTGTGATGTTAAATTGATATCAGGATCTTCTTTACCAAATGAAATTGATTTTAGATAACAAATACCATTTTTTTCTTCATTAGTTTCATTGGGTTTAACATTACAAATAATATCTTTTTCTAAATTACCACATGGACATTGAATTGTAATTATTACATTACATATTGTTACTGGACATGGTTCATCTCCATGACATGGTAAATTACATGGATGACCACATATACGTCGTTTTATATTACATGGTTGTATACATTTTTCATCAAATGATTGACATGAACGTTGACATGTATGAATTGTACATGGAAGAAGTTTACCACATGGTTGATTACAAAATACTATTTTTTGACAACATAGAATCTAAAAGGAAATAAATCTTTATTAATTAATAACTGTTAAAAAATAAAACGGATTTTTTACAACAGAAACTAACATATGTTGTCCAGCACACATTTCAAGGTGGACATATATCGTCATTATGACAAGAATGATCAACAGGATGATCACATTCATGTATTCGCTTACATTGAACATAACATTTTAAATAAGGTTTATGACATGTAAATTTTGGTTTTATAATTGTTTCACCACAATTACATTTTTTTTCTTGATAAAATAATGAACAATCAGGACAAAAATTGGGATGACATAATTTTTTACATGTACTAAATGAAAAAGAATATATATTAAATATATTAAATTATTATTTTTTTTATTTTATATCAAATACATACTGTATACCACAATTCATTATTTGACCACAGACAGCTTCATATTGATGACGATCAAGATTGCAGCATTTTCGATTATATCTATATAAAAAAAAAACATTTTTTTTTACATTCTAATTCAAGAAAATTACTAACCAATGTTTTCCACAAGATTTGTTTTTTTTGCATAGTTCTTCACATCGAAAAGGATTTGTTATTGGATTATATTCCATTGTTTCTATACATGATATTGATTTACTTGATTTTCCACAACGACATTGAACAATTAATTGTTTGCTGGGTGTGGGGTGTGGGGTGTGGGTGTGTGGGTGTGGGTGTGGGTGTGGGTTGTGGGTGCGGGTGTGGGTGTGGGTGTGGGTGTGGGTGTGTGGGTGTGGGTGGGGTGTGGGTATGAATGAGCAGAAGATTAACATCCACACCCACCCACCCACCCACACCCACCCACACCCACAGCCCACGCCCACACGCACACCCCACCCACACCCACCCACCCACACCCACACCCACCCACACGCACACCCACCCATACAAACTTGCGTAACACATTGAACATCATTGGTCAATTTGACAGAGATTTCTTGATAAAGCATGTTTGCAGCTTTCTAGAACACACTTTCTGAAAAAATAATAAAGATTTTCGCGTTTCCCCAAGGTTATACACATGCAAAATAAAAACATCTTCCAAATATTTTCATTAATCCAAATACAACAGGACCTAACATATCATATATGTTTTTCATTTTGAGTATGAAAGAAACCATGAGGAAGAGTCGATTCGAATGTGTTCATACGGCTTTTTGGAGAGCTTTTCACGGCGGATCTCATGAAAAAAAATCAAAATTCTACCATTTTGCCTGTGCAGAGATATTTGCAAAACTAAATAATGTTTTTTCGAAAAATTTCTTCTTCAAAAACTTGTTTCGCGTTTTTCTCAGAACATAGTTTCGACGGAGTAGCACCAGCGCTTCTCTCCCCCAGTACAATATGAAGCCAAATATTTTTTTTCTGTTTGTAAGCTTGTCTCTAGGACTAGCCTACCTCGTGGCCCTTTTTTCAGAGTAAGCCTTTCATTATCATATAAGAGCACATCTCTCCGGAAAAAGTACCATTTTTTAGGAGTTTTTCGAGTCATCGAACTTTTCATCCGTTTTCTTCGCTTAAAAGGTCGAATTTAAAAAGAAGGGCCACAAGGTAGGCTAGCTCTAAAGACAAGCTTTCAAACAAAAAAAAATTGTATATGTAATGAAGGGCCATGGAGATTTTTTCGCGCTATGATGACCTATTTTTTGACCCTTGTTTGATTCATTTCTCCGTCGAACGTCAGTAAATCGAGCTGAAAATTTTACCATAACCTCCTCACTTCAGTCCCAACATATGCTCCAAATTTCAGCCCATTTGAACGCACCTCAGATGAGATCGGTTTTTGAGGGGAGGGGGCCTTAAGAAAACGAAATTAGATGCCGTTTAGTTGTTTCCGTTTGTTTAGCGAGTTCAGTAGCATGACCAAGTGGCGACCACCCTAAATCAGAGTAACTTGAAACAAACATATTTTTTTCTAAATTATAGGATTCTGCACAGCTTCTCGAAATCTTTAGGACGGCACAACTACATCCATTTTTGCTTACGACACAACAAGCAAATAACGCCTGCTAGCATTCACAAATCCTTTACTGGGTGGACTATATTACGTCAAATGTCTAATAAGGAATTATTTTGGTTCAAGAATCAGATTATTTGACAATTTCTGAAGGTGCCTCAACTTCCACTTATTATACTTACGATAAGCCTTCTAAATCAGCGTCTAGTCGTTCGTCGGTCTCCCTCCGGGCGACCACTCACGGCTAGCCGTTTCCATATATGGTTTATTTTTCTGCCTACCATTTATCACATTAGTACTCTGATGCGCAGAAAAAATAGTTTACTCATGACATATCGATATGTAATCAAAAATTTCCAACATTTAAATAATGTTGTATACTTTTCGTCATAGTTTTCAACTTCTTTTTATTTTAACAAAATGATATGTTGCCGAATTTGTTTTCAAATCAGCATTAGTTAAGTTCTTCTGATAATCTCCCTAAACCGCTTCAGACTCATTTCAAAATTATGCTCTAAAGTAACCTTCTAAGTCAACGTCTAGTCGTTCGTCGGCCTCCCTCCGGTCGGCCACTCACGGCTAGCCGTGTCCATATTTAACGCCGTTAAATTGTTCGATATTACTTCAGGTTTGAAGCGAATAGATGCATTTCGTTTGAATTCCTTTCAAAAATTTACTGAGCATATGTTAATACCCTCATCAAGAAGAAACTAAAAAAAAGAGAACTATTTATAAATTGCTACAAATAGAGTACATTACATTGTCGCTTAGAAAAGATTTTCGTCTATTTTAAATGTTATTTTACATTTGATGCCTACGAAGAGTCAATAAGTGGACTTCAAGCGACAAATTCGTTTTCTGCATATCTATGTATAAATCTTACCCAAAGACCTGGCATTTTGTAATCAACAAGGAAAAATACTTATTTTAAAAGCAATCTCGAACATGGATTCGCGACCCTCGACTATCCTTAAGTCGAGCTTAAAATAACAGGGAGTTCATTAAAAGAAGCTTAAAAAACGCCAAAAAGTTGTCGATTAACTTCGAATTTGCATTTTTCATGCTCGATAATGATCAGTCAAGTTTTATAGAAAACGATGATACATTAATTTATCATTAATTAATAACTACCAATATTGGAAAGCTGACCTCAGATTTGCATTCCTCATAGTCGATTCTCTTTAGTAGAGTTTTACTGGAGACAGTTAATTTTACTGATTATTACTTATTTGATAAAAACAACTGAGTTTTGACTTATCGATCTTCGACTATCTTGGATTAAACTTATTAAGAAAAGTATAAAACTAATTCCTAATTGTTTATTAACTTGTTATTAAAATCACATTTGATTCAGATTCGATATATTTTCCTTCGATTACTTTTCGTAGACCTTTTTATAGACTATCAGAAGCTTTTGATATCAATCTAGCCGACACCGTTTTCCCATTGGCTAGAGTGCACAAACATACAGACTTTAGAATCAGCCATACATGTAGAAATGCAAACTTATTTTATGTTATATCATCTATCTCATTCAATCTAAGAAAAAAAAGTCATTATTTTCTTTAAAAAACCTTCCGCAACCAAAAACTCATTTCAAAAACTTTTACGAAAACTCCTGACAGATTTCTCAGTCTCTGAAGTCTTTGGTCAAACCTTATAGGAAACAGCTTTTTTCGTAAAAAACATTTTCCTTGTCTAAAAAGGTCAGTCTCAACAACTAATCACGGATTCAGATTCGTCGACCTCCAACACGTTTATTCAAACTTTATAAAAAAAATGTCTTTTCTTACCAAAAAAAATGATTTCAAACAATTTTCAAAACTAATACTACCAATCGATTCCTCGACTTCGAAAACGTTTGATCAAACTTTATACAAAAAAACATTTTTTTGCTAAAAAACCTCTCTTTTCGTAAAAACATCTATTTGAAAAAATTTTCAAAAACTCATGTCACCATTCGATTCCTTGACCCCAAAAACCCAAGGTAAAGATTTTTAAGATTTGTGAAAGACTAGTCTAGTTGATATACGCATCTCTGTTTTCTGATTGGTTAGGACAGAGAGACGGACAGACAAACTTTAAGGATATTTACCGCTGTATAACTCTTTCTTTCAGAAAAGGGAATAAACGTACCGAGAATGTTTTGTACTTACGCCAAATAAATCAATTAGGTTTTCGTCCATTTTTGCTTGAAAAATGATTCTTTATTTAATCTAGAAAGAATATATATGTTTCAGTAGAAAATAAAATTCAGTAGAATTTTAAATTGTCCTAGGAAAAATTAAAGGGTTTAGGACAATTACTCGCAAGAACACTTCTTCATGACTGTGAGTGTAAGTGTGGATATATGTGTGCACGTAGAGAAGCTCTACACCTACACTAACTCAGATTCACGCCATCATTAACTAAAGCCATCACCCTCAACCTCACCCACACCCGTGAGCAAGTGTCCTGGGAGTAACTGCCCGACTTCCAAGAATTCTCGACCGGATCGAACCGAAGCGGCCGTTTACTGTTACCGGTAGCAGGATCTGGTTTATATTATAATAATGACTTGTTTTTACTATCTGAAAGAACTGAATTTAATGTCATAATAACTACTTAGCACACATATATATTACATAGAAATCAAAGAGAACAAATCACAATAGAATTAATGATATTTATATGCAAAGAAACATAAAATATAAAGTCGAAATATTTAAATAGAGTATTGAAATTATAATTTTCTCTATTTAATATTTTCTTTCATTTAATATAGCTATCTTCAATAGCAGCTATATCTGCATTTTTTAATATCCAAACATATTGTGCAACATCTTTCAAAGGTAATTGATCAGTTGAATTTCCACTAAGTAACTAAAATAAAATAAAAAACTTTCTCATAAAAAAAAAAAAAAAAAAGATTTTTAATTAATAATAAATTGTATAACATGAGCATTTAGTCTAATAATAAAATCTAATAATTGCAGCAAGATATAAAATTATAAAATCAAGAATAATAAATTCTTTCTTTTATTTTTATGAAATAAATATATGTCTCATTGCTTTGCTTCTTTTTTTAACCATCTGATATTTCGTCCTATTTATTCGGACATTATCAAAGAAGTTTGAGTTGTTGTTGTTGTTGTTTTCTTTTGGTTAATTTATTTATACTTGGATTTGTTTTTTCGTTCCTCATAAAAATAAAAAATAAAAGAAAGAATTTATTATTCTTGATTTTATAATTTTATATCTTGCTGCAATTGTTAGATTTTATTAATTTTTTAATTAATTTACTTTCGTAATTAAATCACGAAGATCAGATGACGTTGGAATAGAAAATGTCAATTCAATTGATCGTATCATTCAAATTATTTCATGTTGAGTGTTGACTATCAAATGGTGATTTACCGATAATCTTTAAAAAACAAATAGTTTAATTGATAAATAGAACATAATTACCATTTCATATGTACGAACACCAAGACACCAAAGATCAATTTTTTCATCATAAGCATTCACATTAAACATTTCTAATGGTTAATAATCTAATGTACCAAAAAGAGTTGTTCGTCTTTAAAAGAAAAAAACATTCTATTTAAATAAATCAATTTATCATATAAATCTTACTTTCATGTTGATGTACTTTCAGCTAATCAACCAAAATCCTCTATAATGAAAACAGATAACAGGAGGATAATGCTTTCAAAAATTCAACTCGTTTCAAGATTCTATATTTTCCAATAAGAATATTTTCTGATTCAATATTTACCAACAGATTAATTTATAATAATTATATTCATAAAATTTTTCAAACATAGCTCTAAATAGAACAAGAAAATAAAAATTAATATATTCATTAATTTATAGTGATAAATAACTCGTTTTATATGTAAATAATTTAAAGCATTAGAAAGTCGATAGATATACTAAAATGTTTAAAAATAATATATAAATTCTTACTTTAGTAACTTCACTTTTACATAAAGTTTTTGCTGTATGCATACGTCGATATAATTTTTTTATCAAGTCGCGTATATATTCAAGTAATAAACAAATCCTTTGTTTAACATGGAAATTCGTTAATAATAAACTTAAGTAAACTAAAACAAACAAAAAAAAGCAAACTTGAACATATTTAAGACTAGATTACATTTCTATTTTTACGTGTTACTTGTTGTTTGATTTTAGAATTTTGAAAATTAAACTTTAAATATTTAACTATGATTGAAATAAAACAAAGAAAAAGAAATTAATTATTATTTTAATTAGTTTATGTGCAATAAGAAAACATGTTTCTTTTTTCTCGATCACAATAAATATAACTAAATCGGCTATATTCTAATAAATTGCCTTTTTTCAAAATCTTCAATTGTCTTATCTGAAGATTTTCTATGAAAAACAAATCATAAACAGTCGTTTAATTGTCTACATTATTATCGATTATCTAATAATAAATGAAATAAGATCAGTTCTTTGTTTCGAGCCTGCCGAATAAGTCAACTAATGAAATCAATGTACGCTAGTTTCTATTGAATTTTTTATTTTGTTTCCCACCCATGTCGAATCGTACGTACCGCCTCAATACGCGTGCAGCATGACATAAACGTACTATGAAGTACATTATAATGCACTTTCCTAATTTTTCTATTGGTCAATTTCTCAAATCCAATTAGGTTTTTTTTGTCATATCTTGAAAAAATTTTTTTGCTGTTCTTTCTTTTTTATCGCCTTTTGTCTTCTCAAGACGAAATTTATTCAGCGAAAAAAGGAAAAAAGAAACTTTACAAAAAAAAACATGTATAAAAGGTAAATGAAAAGAAAATTTTTAGTTCAAAAATATTTTAATTTTTATAAATAATGAATTTTTTTTGTTTATAATATTTAATTCTATGAAATTCATTAATTTTCAGTTAAAATAAAATTAAAGAATAATATAAAATATATTTAATTTTATGTGAAATTTAAATATTTTTCGAATTTCTTTCATAAACGAAATAAAGAGCATTGATAAGAAGTTCTATCGTGAGGTTATTGTCGACACAATTATTCTATATGAATTATTTCATTTTACTTTTTTTTTTAATTCTATGGCTGATATAATTGAATTTGTTTTTTTTTCACAACCATAATTCTATTATGTGAATGATTTTTTTAAAATTCAATCAGTTTTCATATACGTTATACAATATCAATTAATATAAAATTTAGAATAGAACGAATATTTCTAATAAATTTAGTGTACATGGAAATAAATTAAGAAACTACAAGAAGACGAGATCTTTATTTGTCCTCTATAAAATTGAAATTATTTAAATAGATTTTTCTATTCGATTTAAAAATAAATAAAATAATTTCATTTTTCTTTACTTTCATCAAAAGTAAAGCAATTAGAATATGTTGTTTCAATTTAGATTAAATATAGTATTTTAAAATGAAACCTAATTTGTTTTGAATCAAAAACGAATCAAATAACTTTTTTAGTTAAGTTATTTAATTTTATTGTATATAAATTAATAAAATACATAAATTAACACCATTCTAGTAAGATATAATTATATGTAATTGAAGTAATTTCTTTCTAAACTCAACTAATTTTTAACTCATTTAAAGAAATAATTGTATTAACATATTCTATTTACTGAAATAAAATAAAAAAAATTATACAATCAATCTATTTTTTAAAAAATATTTAGCTTGATCAAATTAATATAAGTTAATTTTTTGTTGAAATTCTAAATGAATATTCCAAAAAATACTTCTATTAAAGATTTTAATAGAAAATAAAATTTGATATATTATATAAAATTTACTTTTTTTGTCTAGAAAAAATTCTTAATATTTTCATTTTTTCGTACTGAATTGAAATCAATTAAGAAAGTAGCTTATAATCTTTATAGAAATAATTTAAAAATTAAAAACAAAAATAATAGATCAAAATTTTAAAAAATTTATAAAAAAACTAGTGAAAACCCGTTCATACTGCACGACTGTTCTCTTCTTTAACGACTGACTTCAGACGTTTAACTTTTTATCCGATAAGAGACATACAGATATGAGATATTATATATATATATATAGATCGGAGCCTTATGACCTCATACTCTTCTATGGCATATATTTTTATAGTGCATCTAGTCTTATGTCCTTATAGCCTTATATCCCTTGTACCACTTGTAGCCTTATCCCTTTATTGTCTGACATCCTTCAGGGCCTATGGGTACCCTATAGGACGACCTTTAAGGATCCATGAATATTCTCATATAATAGACCTTGACAGGCTATGAATACTTCCATATAATAGTCCTTCAGGACCTATAGGTATCTCAATAGGATAGTTCATGAGGAATTATGGGTACCTCCATATAATAGTCTATGAGAACCTATCGGTGCCCCTATATAATAGACCTTGAGGGTCTATCGGTACCTCTACATAACAACCTTTGAGGAACTATGGGTATCTCCACATGATAGCCCTTAACCCTGTGAGAACCCGGTGGCTCATTTTTAGACCACCTATTTTTTAGTAAAAAAAAAGTGTTTATTTCACATTAAACTATTAAATATATTAGATAATTAAGATCATAAACAAGGACATTTGTCATCTCAGATTTTTCTTTTCTTCTCTCATATAATTTCTTTTCAAATATTCTTTGTGATTGCTGCTAAGGTACAGTGACGTCATTATTTCTCTCTTTTTGTTTGATCTTTTGTTTTTCAAGAATATTCTCATTCTATATTAGGTATATATACTTCCGTTCTCATTGACTAATTTACATTGTTCTTGAATTTGCAAAGTATGTCATTTCTCTTTCGAACTTGTATTCTTTATTTCATTTCATACCGTTTTACAATTAATTTTGACAATGAAATGCATTTGCCTATGAAAGAAAAAAGAAGAAGTTGTGCTTATTTTAGTACTAAGGAAGCAGATTTTCGATCAAACATCGAGTACTTTGCTTGCAAATTGCCTAGGGTGTGGGTGTGGGTGTGTCCACACTCATACCCACACCCTCCAACCCCCTAATAGTTGTGCCACCTATATCTCCAGATTGGTTTATCCATTCCAGCTGAAATTTTGAGTTTCTTCCTAAATATGTTAGACCTACCTACTATAAAAATATCAGACAAATCAGTGAAATCAGTTGCGTAAAATTGGTCGTGACTTACATGTAATGCCTCTTATAGATGTACGAGATCAATTTTTAATCGTTGAATATTGTTTCAATAGTTTCCTCTTAGTTCTAGTAACCTCATGTTTTCGTTGACTTAGTTTCGGTCCTGACCTTTGTATAGATTGAGAGAAAATTATGTGTAAATATGTGCACAAAAAAAATCTGTAAGTTCTTAAAGTTTCATTCAATTCACTCAAATATTGTATATTATATTGAACGATCTTCTTTTCTTATTTGTGTCAATTGGCATCATACATAAGGTAACTCACTCATAAATAGTAAAACAACTATAAACTTTGATCTCAAATCCATAGGTACATTGACAATGAGCATTGATAATATCAATCTTCTCGAAAAGATAGAAACATTTTGAAAGTGAGGTGTAAATTAATTCGTTTTTACAAGCCAACAATATCTTTTTTCATAAAGATCGTTCTCTAAAAAAAATTTCCAGGTACGTATCTGCTCACACTTTTTAAATTTTAAATTTTAGTCCTTGTCTCATTTCATAGACCGCACCAAAGCTAGTTTCATTCATCTTTAGCAATCATACAAAAAGTTAACAATCATTGATTATCTGAGTAAATTATAAATCTTCATAGTTACCATATATGTAGCTTTTTCTAAGTATTTATTTAAATAGAAGAAATTTTTCAAGAAAACTAATATTTACAATAAAGGAAAATATGAATGAAAATTCTCTGGACGAACAAATGGTTCAAGTATAGTAATGTGTCGCAATTGACTACAATTGAAACGTGCTGCATCATTTGTAAAATTATTTGTTACCATTGCTAATGATTCATATTTGACACCCAGAATTGTTAATCGAGGTAAACGAATATTTGTTTCCAAGAGAAATTCTTCAACATAATCAATATGTGCGAACGCAAGATTCAGCTCGGAAACTTCAGCAAACGTAATCAATGTAGATGAATGTTGCTTGTTCTTTTGTGGTTCTAAATTATACACAGTTAATCGTTGCAAAAAAGGAAAATCTTGAGAGAGTATTTTAAAAAATTCATGTTCAAATGAATGTGCATCACTCATAACCAGCCATCGAACTTTATAGAAATTATCATGACGAAACGAGTTGGTTAAATGTAAAAAAGTATCGAATTGATATGGAAGTGAATATGCATGGCATCTGCCTCCAATTTTCATAACATTGGCATATGAATCCACATGTTGATATCCTATTTTGATAAAACTATTTTGAATATCATCATTCGATGGAAGATCAATTTTAACATCTTTATCGTCAATAAGAGTGTTTATACTGAATGTAAATTTGTTTAGCCGTGGCATTTGAACAAGAAAATCATTGTATAAATGATTACCATCGATATAAGGCAATTTAATTCTTGTCGCTGAGATAAGTAATGTCAATTCTTCGAGATTTAACATTCGACGAAGTAGTGGAACAATTCGTTTGTCATAAGCATATGTTTGAAAATACGAGATCAATGAGAAACATTTTAATTTGGGTAGTTTGCCCTATAAAGAAAACAGACAATTAATTAGTAAATTTCATAGTTATATGTTGACCATTGACGATGATCTTTTCAAATTTATTTAAAGACTTGTAGTTGCAGTTTTGATGCCAGAAATTCTGTACTTCGAATAAGCTGTTAATTGTCTGATTTAACTATCAAGAATAAAATAATATCCAATACCTACTGTGTTATCTATATTTGATGATGAATCCGAGATTTTAAATATATCAATGATTAATGTCGACAAACATTCGAAATGTCCATTAAGAATATATAGACAGTCATCAAAAGTGTTGACATTAATTTTCATTTTAGTTAGAGTTAAAGATACAGGACACATCGATGACAAATTGAAAGTAGAGTCGGTTATACTATTGCCAACACAGAATTGACGAATGGTCAAATCTGTTAGATGTTTACACAAAAATAATATTAATGTAAATAAATTCGATTCATTTCCATTCGATAATTTGACTATTATGCCACCTTTGATTTCGACTTTAAGATGAGTTATTTGATCACTAAGAACACGACAAAATATTACATCACCTTAAATATATACACAAAAAAAATGATTATGATTTGATATTTGATAATATAGATGCTTCATTCATTAAATCAAAAAAGAAATTAGAGAATATACTTGTTAAATATTGTAAAAGTGTTTCTTGTTGAAAATTGACAATTGATAGCGAGTGAAGTTGAGGATAATCAACTGTATTAAAAATAAATTCCATAAAAGGTAATGTAACCGTGATTTTATTCACTTTATAATGAATTCGAGGTAAAACTTTTGTGCGAATTTGATCGAAAACTTGATTATCTACAGAAGAATTATGATTTTTGAATGTTTTGCTTCTTAAATCCAAATGATGAATATAGAGAGGATCGAATACTAATTGATTAAAGCGTTTATTTAGATCCACAAGTGAATAGAATATATCAACCATATCCATTTTGCTGAGAATAATAAGTAACATTTCATCAGGTAAATCGAGTATATTAATATCATTGTTTTTTGAAGTGTTCATGTCCCACAATTATTATCTATTTGTTTCAATCACTTCCTCTCCCTTTCTGTCTATATATATATATCTTGATCTTCTCATTGCCGTCTATGAGAATAATATTAATATAGTCGTGTCAAACAATCATCAACGATTGATGCTTTGTTTTTTTATTTAATCCATCTAAAATGGTTCTTTTTTTCTCATTTATAACGAATAGAATTCGTACGATCACTTTCGAATGTTTTTATGTTTATCATACATTGAATATATTATAACATACAGCATCATGCTTAGACTAAATTGAAATCGATTAAAAACTTGGATACTTGAATATTTCATCATATATATATATATGAATATGTTTCTGTTTTTATCTTAAGTTTGAATTATATTTAATTACATTTAAAAAGACAATGAATAACAGGGGTCGCAGTAGGGGGTGGGAAGAAGAAGGAATTTGAGAAGGAATTTTTCAAGAAAAAAGAAGGAAATTTGAACAAAAGAAAGAAAGGAAGGAAAAGAAGGAATTTTCCCGGAATAGTTTGCTGCAACAAATAAATTTTATACGACCGCCAATAAGAAACGATACGACTGCGCTCAGGCAAGTAAAATAGTACTCGAATTATTATTTGGTTACGTTGCAAGACCGTTATCTTGCTTTTATAGTGAATAGGAACAGAGAACGAATTTCAAAGACGAACAGTTTTCTCCTTGGTCCTACGACGTGCGTGCATATTATTGTCATCCCCATATATCAATGACTCTCTCGGCAGCTTTACAGGTCGCGCACATCCCTCACTAGAGTCTGTCGGGTCCTATCCGAATCCGGATCAGGACTCTGTTGGGTCTGAAAATGTCATGTTAATCAGGTCCGGGTTCGGGACTTGAAAATTTTACTGATCGGGCCCGGCTTATGTCCGGACGTCAGATCATTTGAACAATGTGTACAGTGTGCTACTCGATGAAC